AGGCAGTTAAGTGAGATAGAAATTAATATGCAGTCAGAGAGGGACTGAGTTCTCAAAGAAGTCAGCAGAAAAAAATAAAGACATCAGAATTGTGGCTGGAGGCTCATCTGAAGAAGGCAAGGCCTCAAGATGAAGTCACATTGGCCAGACTTGCATACCTCCCTAAGGGATAATTTGAGATTATAAAATTTGAGATTATATTGTAATTAATAACACCTGGTCCATTAAGTCCGGATATACACCAGAGACCCATGTGGGTGCCCAAAACATCTGAACCCATGCCTTCTCAAAAAATGTTTCTGTTTTAAAATTCATACAGGCCTGGGGATTTAGCTCAGTGGCACTGTGCCTGCCTGGCAAGCGCAAGGTCCTGATCTCCAGTATAGAAAAATAAATGAATAAATAAATAAATGCCATAGATAAGCCAAGGTTAATAATGCTAGCCACGTGCCCTTGCTAAGAGCCTTGCTTCCCTATTAGATCAATATTAGCTAAGTGGCTATACTTGTAATCTTATACTCACCTCATGATTTTGCTCTATAAAACATTCTTGGGAAAATGGCCTCAGTGGCAACTCACTTTCAGGACTCCTTCTGTCTTTCAGGAGCTATCTCTCGATAAACTTTTCCTTCTCTTAATCTCCATTGTTCCTCAGAATTCATTCTTTGATATTCAGGGACACAGACTCAACACATCTGACGTCTAGCAGGTTGAGAGTTATATGTCTCCTGTATCATTTGGAATACCGAATGGGGTCAAATTAGAGGACTGTGGGGTGTGACAAATGTCTATCCAGGTGTTTTGACAGACTTCAGTCTCTTACTGTAATAGGCATTCAGTTAATGAACATTCAGAGAAGAGACCCAAGGTCATTGTTTCTTCCTTTGTGGGACAGGAGTTTAAGCAGATCCAGAGATGCTGGAGTAGAGACAGCATCTGCTATCTCCTGCTGTTCTCTGAGTTCCTTTAATTGAAAATGACCAGTATGCCAGGGCATCATATTTTGGGGTGACCTTCCTTAGACTCCAATTCTTCTCTCTTCTGCACAGCCAATGTGTCAAATTCTGGAGACATCTTTTTGTTGCTACAACTGGAGAGGATGCTACTGGGATCTCCCCAGTGGAGAGCAAGGGTGCTGTGAACTTCCCACAGTACACACAACAGGAGAGTCCCCACAGCGAAGAACCATCCAACCCCAGATGGCAGTGGGCCAGGGCTTCAGGCAGCAGGAGGTGTCTTGGGGTTTTTGTGGAGTGCTGTAAAAGATTTATTTAAAAAATTTTTTAAAAATGTATTTACTTATTTTTGCGGAGCTAGGAATGGAATCCAGGGCTTTAAGCATTCTAGATAAATGCTCTACCACTGAACTACACCTCCCAGGCTGAAAGATTTATTTTTTTATGACTGATAACACAGCTGAGATGAAGAATGTCTCTGTCTTGGTGCGATGTCTTAGAAGTCTGACACCTGCTCCCTGAGAAGATGTGAAAATGAACAGTGAGAGGGCAAGCGTGACGTCTCAGCATCCTGGTCCTAGCTTGACTCAGATGATGCTGGTCCCGTCCTTTGCTTCCTTTGCTAAGCACTTGCAGAGCATCTCTTGTGAGTGTTGAGCCTGTGGTGGATGCTGAGGACAGAGTGAACCTACAAATACCGTTTGCATTCTCAAGTTGCACACTGGTAGTGGTGCAGGTGAAGTAGGATGGAAGAAATAAAAACTAGGACAAAAGGAAATAAGGGCACTGAGATTTAAAAAATTGTAGTTTTAAGAAGAATTGCAGCTTCGGGACACAAGCCCAGCTTATTTATTTGCAGTATTTATTTTTCTCTTTTTCTCCCGAAACATAGTAAACCTGGACAACTCTCTTTCACCTCTGAATAAATTTTCTCATTTTCTTTTACCTTGCAAATATCCTTTTCCACCTGTGAATAGACCACCTTTTTCACCTGTAAATTACCATTTCCTATATGAATGGACCATTATCTTTATTATGGGTGGGGCATCCTCTCCCACCCACTAGACAATTCTAAGACTATAGATCATCAAACTCCACAGATTCCCACCACCCAAAACATGACGATCTCCAATTCCCAACTGCAGTGTGTGTCATCTCTCTAAGCACTCTCATTCTGCTCTGGACTGCCCCTTGTGTCTCTTTCTTAATAAACCTTCTCATGTCTCTTACACTCTTGTGTCCTGAAAACCCTTTTTCTGTGACCGGAGTCAGCAAACCTGCAAACTTATTTTAAAAGAGGGGAGCCAGCTGTGGTGGCACGAGCCAATCCTAGCACTCAGGAAGCTGAGGCAGGAGGATTGCCTGAGTTTGAGGCCAGCCTGGGCTGCACAGTGAGCTCAAGGCCAACTTGGACTATATAATGAGACCCTGTTTCAAAAAACAGGAAAAAAAAAAAAAAGGTGGGATAAGTCCCTTATTTCAGCCTCTGGGACCTCGCAGACCCATCCCCAACCCAATGACACAGGGAGAGAGTGAAGGAAACAATGGCAGTAATCCAGTACACTAATTGCTGAGGAACGGCACAAAGCAGACTGTGGAGGGGGCAGGGAAGGCATCTGGGAAAGAACACCAAGCTGAACATGCAGCTCTCTCTCCAGGCCAAGGCTGTGAGGCACAGAGCTTCGCCTTAGTCTGCAAATGCTTTGGGGACCTTAGAACTGGCCAGGGTGTGAATGGGTGAGGAGGTGGGGCTGGAGGGTCACAGGACCCAGTTCCTCCAAGAGGGCCTTGTGAGGACTGCTGAGGCATTTGGTTTTGGTCCTGAAGGCCACGGGAGGCTTTTGAACAAGGAGGTGGTGCCACCAGATTTTTGAAAGAGAAAAAGGGAGGACCGTGTGGGTTGATAGAAATAGAAAGATCAAATTAGAAGACAGAGAGACCCGGGCAAAGATATGCCCTGACTAAAGGCAATGACCATGGGGATTATAAAAAACCCAAATCTCTGCAAATTAAAAGATGTCCATTGGCTTTATTTTTTATTCTAAGATCTGGCAACACTTCGTACCATAAAATAGAATGGGTATTTGATAGGCTGAGAAGGATAGGTTGGAAGAACAAAGAGCGAATTGGTCATTTCAAAGATACTGTCATAAGTAAGGGAGAGACAGGGAGAATAATAGAAAAATAACTGGTTAACTTCAGGCTACTTCTTTGTAAGAATTAAAGCAGAAGGAACTTTATCATCCTTACTGATCTTTTAGGAAATTTGACTTTCATATTTTTCCTGATTTCTCAGGTTAGATAAGATGAATGTTAAGGGCTGGGTGTGCAGACGCAGGTTGAAGCAAAAAGACCACCGAGAGTTCGAGGCCAGCCTGGGCTACGTAGTGAGTTCAGGGCCAGCCTGGGCTACATAGTGAGACTCTGTCTCAAAAAAAAAAAGATAAAAGATAAAAGTTAAAAAGATAGCATCTGTGCTTTAATGGTTTAGGAGAGCCAGGGGAGGTAGACACTCTCTACAGGGAATTTGGACTTTGGGAAATTGGGCTATAATTTGTGTCAAAGCATAAATATCTGGACAAGATCAGGAAACATATCAAAGGAGAGACCACTAGTCTGCTATAAATTTTATTTGGTGAGCTATTTAGGTGGAAAAAACCACGTGCCGTTCTCATAGACATGGAAGCGTAGCTATCTGTCCATAGCTCTAGAATGTGGACTTTGTAACAGTTCCATAGCAGATTAGTGTGAGCCTGTTAAAACTCTTAGGGTCTTAAAAGAAAACATAAGTAACTCTACTCACACAAGCAGGTCATTAAAACATCAGGGGAAACCCAGAACACTGAATCCAGACTTTGAAATAAGACTTGAACCAGCCTTCATAAAGATGACTGCGAGAATTGCGATGAAACACCAAAGAGCCAAAGGAGATTGGTATTATTACTTGCATTTTAATAGGTGATGAGACTGAGGCCAAGGTGTTCAATGACTTTCCCCAAGTCCTACAGCGAGTGAGGGGCAGGGAAGCAAGTGGTTGCATGGAACCCAGCCTTGTCTCACTCCAGAGCTAAGATGCCACTGGCTAAGTAGCTAGAGGATGTATGTAAATAGGCAGCCCATACAAAATTAAAGGCAAACAGTAAAAGCTGGAGGCCTTTGAAAGGGAGAGCGTCAGGCACCAAAGCATCAGGGCACCATCATTTTAATTATACTAAGACAAAAACAGAAAACCTGGGAAACAGTGCTGGTGATTTTCTGGATGAGCTGGTTTACAGGTGCATTTCTGAGAGCCGGGAGACTTGGAGCAGCTCTGTGAGAAAGAAGTGAGGGGCAGGTATTGGGAATTGGAGGATGTGTCAGGGAACCTCTCCTAAAGTCAGACTTAAAAATAAGTGAACGGATAAAGCAGAGTGGCCACAGAGAGCAGAGGAAACCGCATTCAGTTGGCTATGGGAGGACAAAGAAGTAAAGCGATTCATCAAACTTATGGAAGATCTGCACTTTTAGAAATAATCGAAATTAAGGCTATGTAACAATGTGAAGAAATCACCATGATAGGATGTTGAGAAAAGGAAGTCGGGTTGAAAGAGAATATGGAGAGAAATGCACCTAATTTTCAAATGCAGATGATGCCTCTGCAAAATAATTTTGTGTAGTTCCTAGAGCAGGTCGTTCAAAATGGCATTTTCTGTTCTTTTTCCCCTTTCTCCTTTTTCCCTTCTGCCCCGGCCCCTGCCTTCTCTCTCCCTCCCCTCCCTCCTTCTCCTTCCTTTTCTTCCTAGTTTTATTCTTTCCTTTTGAGAAGTGACCAATCCAAGGTTTGAGAAGATGAAAGAACACATCTGGGAAGGAGGCAGGGTTGGCTGGGAGTGGGGACAGGAGTCTTTTGATGGCAGAGTCTGTGCCCCTGCTGGCCTAAACCTGGAGAGCTGTGCTGACCAGGGGCACGGGACTCCCTCTGATGGGAATCCCTGCCAGCTGCTTTCTGGTGATCTGGGGAGGGGGCAGGTGCGGCCTGGCATGGTCTCAGGGCTGTCTCTTCAGTTTGTCAGGTGTGCCTACATCATCATCATCATGGCCATTTACTGGTGCACAGATGTCATCCCAGTGGCTGTCACCTCCCTCATGCCTGTTTTGCTCTTTCCACTGTTTCAGATACTGGACTCCAAAGAGGTGAGCAGCTATGGGGTCCTGGTGACTTCCTGGTTCTCTCATAGACTCCTTCCTTTTCCAAGCCGCTCTCTGAGCTGTCTAGGCCTGGGGGGTCACCAGACACTCCCCCCTGGTGGATTCCCCCTGGAATAGAGACATATAACTCCAAGCTGGCCCTGAAGTCAGCATCTGGTCTGCTAGTTTGTTTCTGGGGACGTGGGTGACTCTGGGCCCAAGGATCATGTGGTCAGGGGAAGGAGGGTGCCCTGACAGTGCCTCCATGCTACCCTCTAGGTATGTGTCCAGTACATGAAGGACACCAACATGCTGTTCCTGGGCAGCCTCATTGTGGCAGTGGCCGTGGAGCGCTGGAACCTGCACAAGAGGATCGCGCTTCGCACGCTGCTCTGGGTGGGAGCCAAGCCTGCACGGTAATTATGCCTCTCTTTCTGGCCATGTGGTCTGCATGGGCAAGGCTGGGAGAGGAATGTGGTATGCCCCAGCCATCCTCCAGGGGTGAGGGTAGGCTGGCCACTGCTTACCTGGATGTGGCAGGCTGGTCCCTGGGTGGAGCAGGTTTAGATTTTAGCTGGAAGACCAGGTACATAGGTGGTAGCAGCAGGAGGTGAGAAGGCTGCTCAGCAAGAGTCCTGGCAGGCTCCCTGGGGGGGTGGCTGCAGAATTCCACAGGAAGCAAGATGGATGGAGTCTAGATCAAGCTGTGCCTGGTTTGCCAGTAAAGCAGGCCAGAAGTGGCTCAGCTACCCAACTCAGGGGGAAACAAAAAAGGTCACTCCTTCAAACTGGGACATCTGTCCCCCTGCACAATAGTGTCTGGCCTCATCTCCTCCACATCACTCTGGGCTTTAGCTTCTCAGGCCTTCACAAAGCAGCACCAAGCAGCACACAGTCCATTTCCAGTCAGCCCGTGGGGCTATATGCCGGAATCACAATCATAATAATATAGTGTCTACAATGCTGGGCACGGGGCTGGAACCTTATGCATCCTCACATTCAATTCTCAGCACAGCTCTAAGAAGTTGGGTGTTATGAGGAATTGGAGGTGGGATTGGGGGGTGATTTTTTGAGGGGCGTATGGAGATTGGACTGAGCATGTCTGACAAGGTCTGTGACTCTGTATTCGGGAACTGAGGGTACATCTTGTGAGGTACATCTTGTGTAATATGCCCCTTAAATAACGGTGTGTCCTTCAGCCCTTGAAAGGCACCTTCTGGGATGTCCAAGTATCAAGGACTGGTCTTGATTGGTCTTTCTGGTGACCCAGACCTTCTCTCCCTTCATGCTATAGGTTCACCTGAGTAGAAGATTTCATTCCCTTTCTGTGAATGATTTATAGGGTCCAATCACAAGCTACTGCATAATCTAGAAACATGAGCTCGCAGGACGGTGGACCTCAGCATTCTTATTCTTGAATCTTTTGAGTGGCTGGCTTTTGCCATCAGCAGGTGGAAGGCCACCACCATGGACTTCACTGGAGCTATGGCTTCCAAGGACAAGAAGTACATGTCTGCCTCTCTGCTCCTTCCTGCCACCTGGCTCCTTCTCTGAGCATAGCTTCCAGCTGTCTATGGAACCACCTGTCCTGGGGGACCTTATGTGGAGGACTCCCTTAGGGCTTTGAAATTTCACGTGGAAACCAAGGTCTCTGGGAGGCTCGTGTGGGGCTCTCAGCCTCTGCCTGGCCTGGATGCTACTCTTTATTTTTATGGGTTTGTGAGGTCAGTCTGTGCGGACACCAGCTTGAACCTTAGTATAGCGCACCCCCAGGCCCCACCTTCTGGGGCCTGCCCTCAGGCAAATTAGCAGCCCTGAAGGGGAACCTGAGTGCACAAGGGCCTGGAGACCCAGTGCAGGTGAGTTCTACTCTGCTGGCCTTCTGCTCCTGGCCTCATGCCCCTGGGTTGTGTGGAGCCTTGGAGAAGAAGCAGGCCCTGCCTCGCTCTCAGCCCAAGAACAGAGCAGGCATGGACACTGATTCTCTGGACTCTACCTAATGATGAATAGAGAAGGGAAGATAGAGAAGGGTATGGCCAGCCCCACCTGGCATGCACTTTGAGGCAGGCCATGGATGGGGGATGATGTCTGAGAGGGCTTTGAAGGACCCTGAGAAGCTCTCCAGGTAGTCAGCAGAGTGAGAGAAGCAGTAAAAGACAATGGGTTATGAGCAAAGGGAATGTGTTTTCTGAACAGTTCGATTTGATCCATGGCAAAGTGTGATGTGGAGGGAGTGGGAGGGGGGCAGCCGAAAGGAAGGCCACACTTTCCCAAGCTCTCCCTACACCTGCAGGCTGTCTGTGTGACCCTTCTAAACTTAGGAGAGAGGAGACTGGGTCTAGGATGGGGAGGCTCTTCTAGACACAAGTAGCAAACTGGGGCTGCCTGCATGTACCTGGGTCATACTTGGAGCGTGCCATTCATATTGAGTTGGCACCATCTTGATGTCTGTGCTTCCCCTCTTATACAGGAGCTCCTTAGAATCAGAACTGGGTCTAGAGAACCTTGTTTTAGTAACCAGCAGGGTAGACATCAGTAATGTTTGTGAGATGGGGGTAGGAGGGAGAGAGGAAGGAAGGAAGCGGGGAAAGGGGCTTGACACTCAAACTAAAATCCCCTGTTGGCATACTCAATCTCGATTGGGTGGCAAGGGGTAGCCCCTTGGAGACTTGGAATTGGGGGAGTAGGAGTACTCTGTGGCTTTGCTCCCTGCCCCTCCTCTGCAGGCTGATGCTGGGCTTCATGGTGGTCACAGCCTTCCTGTCCATGTGGATCAGCAACACAGCCACCACCGCCATGATGGTGCCCATTGTAGAGGCCGTGCTGCAGCAGATGGAAGCCACAAACGCAGCCTCTGAGACCAGACTTGGGGCATTGGAGCTAGTGGACAAGGGTAAGGCTGGACAATTGCCAGGTGAGCTCCTGGCCAGGGCACTCTAGGGAACACAGTGCTTCCTTCCCTCTGTTGCCAAACATTTTGACCATTTCTCTCTTCCTCCCTGTTTTCTATAGATCCTTTTTAAACATGCATAGAGAAAGTAATTTAGGAAGTATTGTTCTCATAAGTTTTAGAAATGTGATTGTTGCAAAAAAGTTAGATCCTTTAGAGCCAGCCATGGTGGTGCATGCCTGTAATCCCGAAACTCTCAGAGTCTGAGGCAGAAGGATTGCAAGTTTGAGCCCAGCTTGGGCAATTTACTGACTCAGCAAGACACTGTCTCAAAATAAAAAATAAATGATAGGCTGAGGACATAGCTTAGTGCAAAGGCCCTGGGTTCAAAACCCAGTACTGCAAAAAAAATTTTTTTTAGTAGACCTTAGAACATTGCATTTCCATTAGTAAGAGCTTATAACAAGGTTCTACCCTCAGCTCCTGCCAATCACAGAAATCAGTGAAGTGCTCATTTTATTATTTCTCAGGACATCTTTTGATGCCCATTGAGTGCCCCTTACCTCTTGCTCCTCAGTATGGTCTTCAGGGAGGCCTTCCTGCTAGGTATAGAGCCCAGGGAATATAAGGTAGCATCCATTTGCTTTGCCTTTTGCCTGTTCCCTACCCCAGGACCCTGCACAAGGAAAGCTGATTGCCAGACCCTCAGTGAGGTCCTGGGCTGCAGGGATGACCAAGCACACACCGACCTCTGACTCATGGAGCCCAGTAGGATGGCTCCTCGCAAGAGTCTTCTGCTGGGGGAGGCCACAGGCATGCCATAAACTGGATACTTAGGAAGCTCAAGAATGGGAGAAACTGCTAGGAGAAGAGGCAGTTGAGGTGGATTTGAACATGTAGGGAGCAGCCTGGTAACAGCAAGGAGTCGGGACAGAGTGGGCATGGGTCTTGTCTTAAGTTGCTAAGTTTGGCAGGAGAATGGAGGAGCTGTAGGGAAGCCATGGGAAGTGACTGTGGACAGACATATGGAGCCTGATTATGACTTTGGCTGCAGGCTGGAGAACGCATGTGGAGGCACCCGACAGGGTGGGGATGTCCTTGTCCTCAGGTTAGCAGCAGGGTCAGGAGCTGGGGTTTGCTGGACAGCCCCCCATGACTGGCTCAGCTAATAGTGCTGTGTCCACCACAGAGACCCAAGTGACTTTTGGAGGCCCCACCATGGAGAAGCAGGAGGACCAGGAAAGGAAGAACATGTGCAAGGCTATGAGCCTGTGTGTGTGCTATGCAGCCAGCATCGGGGGCACCGCCACCCTGACTGGGACGGGACCCAACGTGGTGCTCCTGGGCCAGATGAATGAGTGAGTCATTGGCCGTGCTTTCAGGGAACATCAGAGTGGGCCCCTTTCGGGCTGGAGGGACCTACTCACCTTTCCCTCCTCCTCAGCTGGGCCCTGGAGTGGGGAGCCTGGCAGGGATGGATTGTACCCCACCCAGCCCCTGTGTCCCAGCACCCCTGCACCACTCAGAAGCATTCAAGGGGATAGGGACTTGATGTCCAGGGAGCTAATGGACAAGGTTGCTTTGTACCCTGGAGGGAATCCTACCTTTCTCCTGGGCTCAGAAATTCTAGCCCAGACAGGGAAGGTCGATGCAACTCTGAGCTGAAGTCAGGGAGAGGACAATGTAGGCATAGATGCCTGGGTTAGAATATGTAGAAAATCAACATCTCTACAAGAATCTCTTGAGCCCCTTGGCCCACTAACATTGATTAATGGCTTTGGTCCTATGATACTGGGTTCTATGGATGGATGAAGGGTTTGGATTTGGTCACTTATTCCCTTACTGTTTCAATTACTGTAGCCCCACTAATTGCCCTTGAGGTGATGTATTCTCCCCTGCGAAGCCTCAGGTGGACCACAAAGGTACTTTGGAACTTTCCAGCCTTGGCCACAAAGGGACCCTGGCCATGAGGATCTTATATCTGTGCCTGGCCCTGTGCTGGGTGGGTCTGGGATCATGAAAGTTCGAGAAGCCTGGGCCTGCTGTGAGGTTCTCAGGGTCTGTTGAGGGAGCCACATGCGGGGGAGCTCCAGGCCGATCTGGTAAATAAGTGCACTGAGGTATGTACACACTGTAGTGGTTAGGACAAAAATAAGGTGGTGCTTATCCTGTACAGACTAGAGGTCTGGGCAGGGGTGGGGAAAGTGGCTGGCCAACGGCTAGGAGGTAGGAAGAACAGGTTTGCAGCCCAGCAGGGCAGAAATCGGAGGTTCAACAGCCAGACTGGGAGTGTTTTCTGTGATGACATCCTTAGGGTTCTCCCCTAAATTCTTCTGGGGAATGTAGGGAACAGGGGAAGGGGACGTTACCAGAACCTCTGCAGTAAGTCCTAGTCTCCTGCAAGCCACGGCAGCACACGGCGAATTACAGGAAAGGTACACGAAGGAGACTGAGAAGAAGCTGAGCTTTGGGTCTGATCAGTGCTGCTCTAGGCGGCAAAGACAAGAAGCCCTAGCTTGCAGCACCTTTTATTTAGTACATCCAAAGAAACAACTGTAACAAATGAATAATGTAGATTTCAGTATCATATTGCGATGAACAAAGTGTAACAAAAGACTGGGTGGGGGCAGCGGAAATCTAAGAACAATGAGGAACTGTGCAGATGAAGATTTAGTTCCTCCCAGGAACTACACAGATGAAGATTTGGTTCCTCCCAGGGCGTCTCCCACAGGTGTGGTCTTGTCCTGGAGGATTACAGCATCATGGGATCATTGAGATCTCCCTTGTGACCTGAGGCCAAAATGGAAGTATGTCTTGGAGTGTTATTGCTGGCCTGTAGGCAGGAAAACTAGGCCTACGCAAATGATTTTTCCTTAGAATTATGTAGCATTGCTCCCAACAGGGGAAAGCAGCCTATCTGGTCTGAGTAGGGAACACTGAGTGTCTGCTTTGACACCCTCCCAGGGAGGTAGCCTTGGGATAGCAGAGGCCTGGGTTGGGAGGTGGGGCTTAGGGAGCATCTTCCAGTTCCATCCCAGGATATTTCTGAGATTAGCTTTCCTAAGGGGGCCTTTCCTTTGCAGAAACCCACAGGTGAGAGCACTAAGGCACCTGTGGATCCCCTGGAGCTGTTGGCCAAATTATGTGTGCATGTGTACAAAGCTGTTGTTTTCTAGAGGGATGGACCATAACTTTTATGAGATTTTTAGCAGGGTCTGGATCCACAGAAGGGTTAACTGCTAATTTCTCAGCTTCATCTTGTGCCATGGCCGTGTTCTGGGTCTACATTTGATTAGAGGGTAATGTGGGTCATGTACCTGGGTGGCTGGACCCTGCGAGGACGTAGCCTCTAACTGGGGCCACCTCTCAGCATCCAGCAACTTCCCAGCCTCCAGTCACAGAGCCCAAACTGCTTCCCACAGCTCTGCATTGGCTCGAGGTCCAGGCCACTGCCTTTCTTTTCAGACTGTTTCCTGACAGCAAGGATCTGTTGAACTTTGCTTCTTGGTTTGGATTTGCCTTCCCCAACATGCTGCTGATGCTGCTACTTTCCTGGCTGTGGCTCCAGTGCATTTATATGAAATGCAAGTAAGTTTGAGTGGCTCACAGAATACCCTCCCTCTACTCATGCCACACCCTTACAGAGAACCCTCAACCTCCAGCCAGTCTGTAAAGGTCTTCTTTGGGGTGCAGGGGTCCCCACTCCCACCACCCCCACTGCTCACTGTGCCTTTGCACACATTGTTCCCTCTGCTTGGGTGGCTATTTCCTACCTTCCAACCTGCCCTACTCCCCAGTCAGTTGAAATGCTGCTTTCCTGGCTACCCCTTTCTCTACTTCCCCTCACCTCCATCCCATTTCAGAAGAAGTTGCTTCCTGCTCTGAGCTGCCCTCAGGTATATCATAGCCCTAGGGCTACGATATCTGTCTTCAGATTCCAGTGCCACTCCTTCCCCTTGACTTTGAGCTCTTCTAGGACCTCTATGACCCCTGCACCTAGAAGGCTCTCATCCCAGGGAGAAAGAGCAAGTGTGTCATCAACGTGCCTAAAGCCATTAAAGAGAAACTTGTCCCCACATGCCAAATCAACACTGCTGGACAAACTTCTGCTTGGTTGCTTGAGTCCACTAGGCCAGGTCACAGCAGCCTTCTGATATTGTCCAAATCAATCCAAACCCAGAGCTTCACTGAATGCCTCTTCCCAGCAGTGTTCTGTCCTAGAAAGTTTACCCTCCTCTTCCCAAAAGAGTCAAGTCCAGCCAGAGTCACCCCTGAGAGTAGCCAGACTTTGGATAGAAACCATGACATGTGGCTGACAAATAGTTTGTTTTTTTTTTAATGTTGTTATTTTAAAAGACATAAATGTGTCTGTGGCACAAAGGTGATTGTGCCACATGGGGTGGAAAGGACAGAACTGGGAGCTAAGTGTGTCTGTCCTGGGCCTTACTTCACAGGGAGCTTGAGCCAAGTAAAACACAGGTGGTGGGGAGGGATATAAGCAGTGGAGTGGAGGAAAAGTGCCTGGGAAACCTATAATTTAAAGGGAAAAATGGTGTGTTTTTCTGTCTTCTTGTGAAGAAGGAGGAACTCTTTTGAAAATTGTTACGAAAAATTACGGAACATGTTCAAGACAGTCAGAATAATGATCATAATAGTAGAAGCAGCACTCCCACACTATCCACTGGCCTCTTGTCCAAGGCCCTCCTGCCCTACACCTGGTGAGAGGGAAGTTGCTTACCTCCTTGCTGGCTGGCACAGCTTGGCTCTGACCGAAGCTCTCTTCACTCTACATCGCAAATCTGTGCCAGGACCAAAGTCCTGCTTGTTTGTTCATATCCTTCCAGCCAATCTTTCAGGAAATGGCTCCAAACCTGCTGCCTGTAGGCATCTGTTTCCTCATGGGGCAGCAAGAAGTCACAATGGCCAACACATGTTGATGCATATGCTATACCAGACACTATTTTAAATGCTCTACATTTATGAATCTCATTAATCTTCACAGCAGTCTATGATGTAGGTACTATTATTATTAGTGCCAATTTACAGATGAGACAGCTGAGGCCTGGAGAGGTTGAATGGCCTGTGCAGGGTGGTATGGCATGGGAGTAATGGGCCTGAGATTAGAATCCAGGCAGTTCTGCTGCAGAGCCTGTGCTCTCCAAACGCAACCCTGCATTCCCTCCTGGGGAGGCCAAGGGTTGCTGCCCTGGGCAGCTTCAGGGTCCAGGTGTACCAGGTGTCAGAAGCACTAATTGTGGCCTAGGGCTTCCCTAAAGCTTCAAGGCCATGTAAGCAGAGGGAGCTGGCCTAGCATCAAGACCACAAGGGCACCATCAGCCTGCCCATCTTGCAGTGGAGGTCGGACTATGGTAGGCGCCCGAAGGACACTTGCAGGGAGGCATCTTCAGGGACAATGATCTTGGCCTTGCCCACCTGCTCAGACCAACAGTGGACAGAATGTGTAAAGAGAACCCCCAGAGAACACCTTGGGGTCTACATCCTGTGCATCAGTGGTCCTAGTTACCCTTTCCCCTCAGCTGCGTTATCCCCAGCCTCCTTGCCCCCTCAGGCAAACACCAACTTGAGGGGAGATCCTGCACGGCACTTTGGCTGGGTCCGTCTACCAATGGGCCACCCTAGGGGATCCATCCAAGAACAGAGGCTGGGCTGGCTTCCTTCCTGCCTTGGCTACCAGGCACCTGCCAGATCCCCCTTGCTATGACTGCCTCTGTTTTGCTTCTTTCTGTATCCCATCCTCCTGCTCACTCTTCTGTTCTCAGCCTCTCATCCTCCTGGCCATTCTCTCCTTTCCTGCACTGACTGTCCCTGAGACCCGGTTGAGACCCATCACCTCTCCTGTACCTTCTCAGGCCTCCTTTGGGGGAGTAACCCCAAGCTCTGGAGGCACCCCTAGGGAATGCTCTGGGCACTCGCCATGATGTCCTAGGAGGGAGAGGAGGTAGATAAAAGACATAGAAGGAAAGAGGGAGGAAGGGACTTGCTCCAGGCCCTGCAGCAGGTGGAATATTTGGGTTCTGTACAATATTTGGGTTATGTCTCACCTGTGCCTGGGCCAACCCTCTGTCCTACCATTCTCTCATTTTTACATTCTCCAGTTTTAAAAAATCCTGCAGCTGTGGGATACAGAGTAGGAATAAGGAGAAGGCTGCCTATGGAGTGATACAGGAGGAGTACAGCAAGCTGGGACCCTTGTCCTTCGCTGAGGTCAACGTCCTGGTCTGCTTCCTCCTGCTGATTGGCCTGTGGTTCTCCCGAGATCCTGGTTTCATGCCAGGCTGGGTGTCCATTGCCTGGGTGGAGGATAAGAAAATGTAAGTTGTTTGATTGGGAGAAGCCTCTGCTTCATTACAATGGTGCCTAGATGCTGCTGTTTGCTGGTATAGCTGGCAAGAGGAATGTGTGGGGTTGGGCCCTTTGTTCTGAAGCTGGGTTTCAGAGGACACTTTGTTGGTTTCATGACTCATTTTCCTTTCTGAACAATCGTTATGGCAAGACCACAAAAGCATCTGTTTCTATAGTACCCTCGGCAGAAAATGCATGGTCAAGTAGAGTGGCCCTGGCCCTGGTACAGAGTTTGTCAGGCCAGGAGTAGTTCTTCTAGAATTCTGGCTTCCAAATCTTTGCTCTGCAGTCTTCCTTTTTGATCTTTCCTCAGATCCCTCCCAAGACATACATCCCAAGGCCCAGAAGCTTCTTAGAAATTTGGCAAAAGTGGCCTATGTGAGTTTCTCTATTGGCCCTGATGTTTTTAGCATGGAAGAAATGTTGAGAAACAAACTTGTATATCCTAGAAAAGGCAGGAGATGTGGGCATGTAGATGCTGCCTGCAACTGGCCATTCCATTTTTGCCTGCTGGGGTCAGCACCAAAGTCCTTGAGGTCACCTTGGTAAGCCCTGGAGAAGAAGTCACAAAGTTCACCCATGAACCAGTGTAGGGTGAGAGAGGCAAATGAGCTGCTGAGAGTTGCCCTAAGTTGGAGGCCAAGAATGTGGGCATCTTGCTCACCCCAGGACTCAGTCTCTCATACCACCCTGATCTTGGCTCTGGGGGCTCCAGCTTTCATATTCAGTGAGCCTGTTTCTCCATATAGGAGCTTTTAGGGATAGATCTGGCTAAGTTAGGACAGGTTGGTGCATAGCTCTCACTGTAGCAGACAACCTGAGCTAAACTCTTGTGTGCTCCTTCTCACCTAGGTATGCCACTGATGCCACTGTGGCTATCTTTGTGGCCATCTTGCTATTCATTGTACCTTCACAGAAGCCCAAGTTCAACTTTTGCAGCCAGACTGAGGAAGGTAAGCTCCTGTGCCAGCCTTCCAATCATCTGGATTGGGGCCTCAGGCAGTAAATGATCTCTATGGAATGGGCCCTGGGCCTTCGAGAAGAGAGAATCTTATCCCCCTGAAGAAGACTGGCCATATTACCAAAGCCTGGTGAGAAGGAGATTTCCAAGCCAACAGTGGTATTATTTAGAGCAAAACCTCTTCTCTTGCTTTTTAAACATCTGAAATCTTGGGCCGGGGATTTAGATCAGTGGTTCCGCCGCCCTCCTCCCAAGCTCAAGGTCCTGAGTTTGATCCCCGGTACCAAAAAAAAAAAAAAGAACATCTGAAATCTTATTTGTATTACAACAGGGACAGAAAATGTGTTTCAAATTTCCCATAATGGCATCAGTATTTTCTTGTTGTTGTTTTCTCTCTTCTTCCCTGTTTTGTTAATAAACATATATATTATATAGTTATGATCAAAACGCATACAGTTTGAACACTGTATCTTTATTGTTTAGGTTTTTTGGTTTTGCTTGAGGCTACAATATAAAAGTTTTTTACAATTGCTACAGTATTTATTTTCTCTAATAAAGCATTGTATCAGAGGGGCTGTAATCATTCTCCTGCTCTGGGACATTTTGCCTGTTTTGAATTTTTTATTATTATAAATTAATGTTTTCTCATACATAGCTTTTCCTTGGAGGGTGTTTCTTTTCTAGGATAAATTTTTAGTAATGATATTACTGGGTTGAAAGAATATTATAAATGTCTTAATAGTTTTTAAAATACATGGCCAAGTTGCTTTTAAAGATTGCTCCAATTTATAATGCCATCAGCAGAGCACATAACAGTTTCACCAAATCCTCTTCAGCAATGGGTACAATAATTCTTGTAAATTTTAGCTAATTTATAGGTACCTTATTATCCTTAGTGGCCTTATTTCCCCTTGATTATTTGTCCTTTGTTTTCTAATGCTGTTTTGGGGTGTGTGTGTGTGTGTGTGTGTGTTTCTTTTTTCTTTTCAGAAATGAAAACTCCATTTTATCCCCCAGCACTGTTGGACTGGAAAGTAACTCAGGAAAAAGTGCCCTGGGGTGTTGTGCTGCTACTAGGGGGTGGATTTGCTCTGGCTAAAGGATGTGAGGTAACTTTTCCCAGGGTCCTCTGATTCCACCAAGAGGGTGGATGCAGCTGCCATGTTCCTCCAGTTCTCTATCTCTGGACTTCTGTTTCTGTGTCTTTCTCCTCCACAGAACTGCACATTTTGGGGGGAAAGAGACTGATGTGTCACATGCACAACCAATGGAAGGGAGAAAGCATTCTTGAATGATTGCAAAAATGAGTAGATAAGTGACTTTGTTTAGGCAAGAGAGAGGAAGAGGACACTGTCAGGGCTCTTTAGGGGTCTAGTAATAACACTCTCCACTTTGATTTATTCTAGGGAGATCTTTCTTTCAAGTTCTCATGAATATTTTCACCATTTCCTTTGGTCCTTCTACTTCCTGAACACCTCATTAGCAGGGTTTCAAAATTTAAAATTTTTTCTCTACCGAAGTATATGACAACAATAGCAGGAAAGAAACAGCTTTTAAGGAAAATGGTCCCAAATGTAACTTTCTTTAACTCCTTTCTTCCCTCCTGGGGAAGAAATTAGCCAGAGGAAGGAATGAGCTAGCTTGGTGCTGTCCTCATCCATCCAGCCATCCACTCACCCATCCATCCATCCAACCATCCAGGAATAGAACATAATAAACAGACTTGGTCTATCTTGTGTTTGCTATTCCTTCAACATCTAGGACATGGACATAGCCTGATGCATAGTGAAAATATGTAAATATATATATATATGTGTGTATATATATATGTGTGTATATATATATATATATATTTTTTTTCAGTGCTGAGGATCAACCCAAGGCCTCGTTCATGCTAGGCAAGTGCTCTTTCACTGAGCTACATCCCCTGTCCAATACATATTTTTTGAAGAACAAACCCACATTCATCCATTCACCTATTCTTTTCTCCATCTATCATTTTCTCATTCATCAGACATACCTATTATGTCCCTAGTGTTGGTCCAGGCACAGAGATTATAGAAGAGATGAAGACACAATCCCTGTTTTTGAGGACTTCACAGCCTAGGGAGGGGGATATACCTGGAAAGGCATTTCAGGAAGAAGGAAAAAAGTGTGAGGTGTCCAGCTGAGGAGCAGATAAAGTTGGTGAGGCTAGCACAAAGAATTTCCCTGAGGGCCTTGGCTGTAGGATGGAGTATGTAGACTTGATTCTGAAGGTAGTACAGAACCACTGAAAGGCAAAAAGGCCAGGGAGTGACTTAGTCAGATCTGTACTTGAGATACATCTCTCTGACGTCTGACATGGAGGTCTAGGGCAGGTAGGGACTGGAAGAGAAGCAGCCCTGTACTCTTCGTCTAACTCAGCCTCAGAAGTTGGACTCTATGGGGGCATTCTCTCCTTAAACTCTCCCTGCTGAACTTTGGCCTCTAAGGCACTACTTTCTCCTGCTTTCCTTTTGACTTTGTTCCTGCTCAGTTTTCTTCGCTGGTCTTTCCTCTGTTTCTCCTTCAATATGGGTGTTCTGCAAGGCTCTGTCCTTGACCTCTGGAGTTTTCATTCTCTCCATGGACAATCTTTCTCAAGCCAAAGACCAAATCTAAATCCCCATTTTCTGGCCCAAATCATTCTTCTGAGCTTTGAGAACCATAGGTCCCCAAGAGAAGAGAAGATGGATGTGAGATATTCTGGATGACTTGGGGACTGGTTGGATGTAAAGAATGAGGGTGACAGAGACTGCCCAGTGTGACTCCCAGGCCCCTGGGTTGGATAGCAGTAGATACACTGGGAAGCCCCGAGGGAGAAGCAGACTTTGGGCTAAGGAAAAGGAACTCTGGTTGGGGGCATGTTGAGTTTGATGTGCTTATGGAACATCTGGGTGGAAATTCCTAGAAGGCATGTGGATTTTTAAATCCAGATAGACCTGCTGGGCTAGAAATCAAACTTTAGGAAACAGTAAGGTGAGGATGTAGCTTAAAACTGTGGAGTGATTCATACCACTTATGGAATGGGTGCAAGACAGAAAATTGGGAGTAGAGGATGGACTGAGCTCCTTACTCCACCATCTCTGCCCCTGGAGAGACTGTGGGCCAGGAGCCTGGTAATGACTGCCCTTCCTGTCCTTCTCAGGCCTCAGGGCTCTCAGAGTGGATGGGGAAGCAGATGGAGCCTTTGAGCAGTGTGTCCCCAGCAGCCATCACCTTGATCTTATCCTTGCTTATTGCTGTGACCACTGAATGCACAAGCAACGTGGCCACCACCACCCTATTCTTACCCATCTTTGCCTCCATGGTAAGTATCTCTGTTGTGGGAGGGGGAGTTATTTCACAGGAAGCTGTCAACCCATCCTTCTCCTGGGTCCTTACAGAGGGTATGAAATCAGGGGCCAAGCTTGGAGACCAGAATCTGGCCCTGGCTCTGACATGGACTTGTGTGCCCTTGACCACCCTGGTCCTGAGGCCCTTAGTGGTTTGCTGGCACTTCTTTGTAGTCCTCTTGCTATAAAGCAGCAAACATAGACCAGGTACTCAAACTTTACTGTGTAAACCTAACTGGATGATTTCTCAAGCTGGGGAGGCAGGACTTGTACCAAGGCTCTGGTTGCTGAACATGTTGCAGGAGAGCTGCAGAGCACTACTGGGAACACCACTGACTGAGACCCCCAGGAAGAGGCCTTGGAGGAGGCAGGGTTTGGAGTGGAAGTGAAGGAGAGGGCATTTGGTGAAGGCTATGGAGGGCATGACTGAGGACTCCAGAAGGCTGGGTTGGAGAGGCTAGGGATGAAGGACCAGTGTGAACTAAGCCAGAGAAGGCACTGGTGGTGGAGGAGAGGGCTGCTGAGTGTTAGCTACAGTATCTTGTTCTATGGGCAGGCATGATTTTGAGTTGGACTTGAAAAGAAAACAGAGCTGATAGGAAAATCAGCTGCCATCCTTTTTTCTGTCTCCTGTCATTCATAGAAAAGCAGTACTGACCTCAGGGTGGTATAGGAAGAGCTCTGGGCTTGGACTCAGAAGACCTGAGTTCCCCAAACATGCCATTGGATTCTTTTTCTCCTAGAGGTGCACTGAGGGTCCATAAGAAGAGGCCTCTGCAGATTGCACAGGAGCATGAGAGAGGCTATAATTATTTTGGAGCTGGGAGAAAGACTCACAAACGGCCTGAAAAGAGCACTAGAATTGTTAAATTTCCATCTGGCTGCCTGTGCTTCCACATGCATAAAAAGCAAACCTAAGTGGTTTTCCTGCCATTCCAAATGAAGATGAAAGTGCTAAAAATAGTAAGGTGGCTGTCTCCTCTCTTAAACAGGCTATTCAGACAGAGACCAAGGAAGAGGGGGAGGAGGGAGAGGAGGAGGAAAAGAAGAGGAGAGGGAGAGGACAGTTAGGAGGAGAAACAGGGGAGGAGGAGGAAGAGGGAAAGGAGGAAGAGGGATTTTTTGATGCTGAGCATGTGGTGGGGATGATTCCTCTTCCTGAGCAAAGGCTCTTGGCACTGCCATCTCCAGTTCTTACCATGAACACCAATGGTCCCAACCAAATGCAAGCCTGAATTCAAAGAAGTATCGAAGTCTTGAACACAAGCTTTTTATAGAACCAGAAGCCCTGAGTAAGATTCCCCAAACCTACCTCCATGGCCTCTCTTGCTCTTGCCTGGGCACCCTTTTGTGGGAAAGAGAAAGATTGTGGTCATCCAGCAGGGTCACAGAGGAAGAAGGGGTGCATATACTATGTGGTCCTCAAAGCCAGGGAAAATGAGGATGGGGAAGGATCAGGAAGCAGCCTGGCCTTCCTTGCCTGGGACCGCTCAGCTACTCTGAGGGTATGTAACTGGGTACAGTCTCTGTGTACTCTTTTAACTATGCAATTTCACATCTGGGAGAATGTCTTAGGAAAATAATGCCTAAAAACGTAATTATAATGATATATACCATAGAATTATTTTAAATATATCTATAGTAATGGGGGTTGGTGAAATAAATGATCAATGCTTATATAGTATAATACCATCTAGCCACTAAAAATCTGTTTTGAAAATTATTTAATAAAATGAAAACATGTTCATGCTATGATTGTTTCAAGTTGAAAATGTAATAGATATACATGGCTTTAAAATGTCTAATGATACAAAGACGTGTACAGACCCTATTTCTCTAGCTTCCTCCCTAGAAACAACTTGTTATCAAGTTTTAGACATATTTTTGGATATATGACACATATTCTTTTCAAATAAATGGGATCAACCTATGGACATGTTATACACCTTAATTTTTTTTCTTCTGAATCTAAACATAGATGTTGGAGATTTTTCCATATTAGCATATAAAGCCTACCTATTTCTTCTTTACAGCTGCACACCATTCCATTGTTTGTATATGCCATAATTTATTTAACCATCCTGTTGTCGATGGCCACTAAGTCTGTTTCTTATGCTTTGTTGTTACCTTGTTGCAGTGAATATTGTTGCATATGTGTATGCCCTCATGTGCATGTATCTCTATATAAGGATTTATTTTGACAGATATTATGAATTATATTAGTCATTCATTTCTTTAACAAATACCTACCGGGTGCCTATTCTGTGTGGTTAGATGTAGCTGAATTATAAAATGCAGAATGAGAAAGGTGGATACCAAATTCTAGATGCAAAACAATCCCAAATGTATAAAAAACACAGACATTTATAGATACATACATAAATAAGAAGACGTGGTCCTCTAGGACCTCTAAGTCTGCCACAGGAGAGATACACACACATAACACCATGAGATTCAGTGCAATCTAGGGGTCCAGCATGGTCTCTGGGACATAGCAGGCGACTTGAGGGGATTCAGGAAAGCCTCCCAGGGGAGGTGTCCTCTCATCTCAGGCTTCAGTGTTTAGTAGCGTTATCTGCCTGAGAATTAATTGGCAAAAGGCAGAGGAACCAGTAAGACAAAGGCATGGCGTTTATCCTAAGCCTTCAGGGAAGGCTTTCTTGAATTATGGCCCTGCAAGCTTTTGTGTTCTGTGCTGTGAGCTGTGGTGCTGTTTTTCCCCAGTCTCGTTCCATCGGCCTCAATCCGCTGTACGTCATGCTCCCCTGTACCCTGAGTGCATCCTTTGCCTTCATGTTACCTGTGGCCACCCCGCCTAATGCCATCGTGTTTGCCTACGGACACCTCAAAGTTTCTGACATGGTAACACAGCTGCTTTTATTTACTTCCCTCAGACTCTGATGCTGTTGGTATAAGGGATGCCCCATTTATGAATGACATGTGAGCTCAAAAGAATGACATAGGATTTGGGAATACCATGGAGTGTCCAGAGCTATACTCATTATTTGCATTTATAGTGCAGCATTTCTTCTTTTCTGAAATGATCTCAAACTTCATAGGCTGTCCTATCTCCATAGTGGGTATCAGAATCTTCCTCCTGAAGAAGCCATGCAGGAACCAGGGGAACCCTGGCTGAGCACTTGGAAGGGTGTTAGTGGTAGACCACCATGGCCAAGGATGGACTTCACAAACTAGCAAGAACCCTGAAGATAGTCAGGAGGGATGAGGCTTAGATTGAGAGGAAATGCTAATGACAGTTGAAGAGACTTGTAGAAGTGTCTGAAAAGACTTGTAGAGGTGTCTGAAGAGGTACACACATGACGGGGAAAGTGACCACTTTTGGGAGCAGGTAAAGCATGGAGGCAAATACAGTCACAGGAAGAACTCTCCATGCCAGGTTTGGCTTTATTGCCTTTAATGGGAGAAGAAAGACATCTTTGCAGTTCTGGGTCAGGGACAAGGAAAGTGTGTATGCCAGAGAAGCTGGAAATAAAGGTCCTTACCTTGGACCAGCCAGTTGTTAATCATCACAGATCCTCTGCTAATTATCTCTAGGACTCCATAGAACTAAGAGGGCAGATTTCAGTCCCCAGTAAAAAAAAAAAATCTGCAATGAGGTTTCAAGTAATGGTTATTCGCTTCAGGAAAGAATGAAGAGTGGGCATCAGAAAGATCCAGAGGGGGTCACAAGGGTGCTGCAACACCTTTGTGGGACACTTAAATCACTGGGGAAGCACTGGATCTAGAGTCACACCCCAAGCTCTGCCATGATTTGCCTGAGTAGCTGTTGCCTCATGTCACCTTCCTGAGGTCATTTTCCAATGCTAAATGGTCACAGAGAACCTCTGTCCCACCTCCTTCCCAGGGGTGCACTGAGCACCAATGACAGTGGACATGAGCTTGCTTTATCTGGGAATAGGGGAATCCCAGTGCATGGCACAGGGACATCAAGGCCCAGCAAGCTGCCCCTTCATCCATCTCTCCAAGTGTCCCATTTGCCCTTGTTCAGACAAAGCAGCAGACCTGGGGGTGCCGACTCTGACCTTGGTTTTATTTGTTTGCTTATTTATTTATTTTTATTTTCCAGGTGAAAACAGGACTTATGATGAATGTAATTGGAGTCTTGTGTGTGTTTTTGTCTGTCAACACCTGGGGACGGGTCATATTTGACTTGGATCATTTCCCTGACTGGGCTAATGTGACACATATTAAGACTTAGGAAGAGCCACAAGACCATGCACATGGCCTGCACCCTCCTGAGGACTACAAACTTTCCAGCATACCTTGCACAGAGCTTTGGGGTTCACAACTCAGAGTGACTCAATCATGCCCACACCCTACCAAGACCCACCCAATGGGTCACCTCTTCCTTCAGGGCTAGAGTCAGAGATGGTAATGGGCAGGCTCAGAAGTGAAAAGATCCTCTGAAGAGGAATGGGATCCATTTTCTTGGGCCCTGCCATCATCTCTGGGACTGGCAGGCAGGAAAGGGACCAGGACACAGGCCCTTGTACCATGAGGCCTTGGCAGCCACCATGCTGGCCTATGCTGGGCTCTGGGTCTCACCTGCTTAGTCCCAGGTAGTCCACATGGGAATTAGAGCCCCAGGATGGGGGCTGAGGAAATAACCTGGCAGTGCCTGTGTCTCTTCTGCCTGTCTCAGATCATCTGTCACTCTGAAGGGGATGACTCAGCCAGGATAGGACATCTGGTTTCAGGCAGCCCCCCACTGCTGGAGTGACAGCACCTTCTGGAGATTCTTGGACCCTGGTGTAGTACCCCCACCAAAGGAGGAGCACTTTGAAGTGCCAACTTCAGGATGACACCTGGCTCCCTTCCGACAGCTCACTCCTGGCTGACCAGCTGCCCTCGTTTAACAATCTGGCCCCATTTCCCAACTCTCCAGTGAGCCTCTTTCAACTTCTAGGTTCCTTTGTTGTCTGGACCAGCAGCTGCTGAAATCCCAAGGGTCCATTCTTTTCCCCAAGGCAAGTCAGTTTGGTGTTCACAGCTGCCACCACGCCGCCATCACTCTCCAATGCCAGCGCCACCTCTAGCTCGCCGAGCTCCAGCCGAGGGAGAAGGGGGTAAGGAGGTCCCTGTACCATGGCTCGTACAAAGCAGACTGTCCACAAATCCACTGGTGGTAAAGCGCCCAGGAAACAACTGGCTACAAAAGCCACTCGCAAGAGTGCGCCTTCTACTGGAGGGGTGAAGAAACCTCATCGTTACGGGCCTGGGACTGTGGCACTCCGTGAAATTAGACGTTATCAGAAGTCCACTGAACTTCTGATTCGCAAACTCCCTTTCCAGCATCTGGTGCGAGAAATTGCTCAGGACTTCAAAACAGATCTGCCCTTCCAGAGTGCAGCTATTGGTGCTTTGCAGGAGGCAAGTGAGGCCTATCTGGTTGGCCTGTTTGAAGATACAAACCTGTGTGCTATCCATGCCAAACATGTAACAATTATGCCAAAAGATATCCAACTAGCACGCCGCATACGTGGAGAACGTGCTTAAGAGTTCATTATGGTGGGAAACATTTCATTCTCAAAAAAATTTTTTTCTCTTCCTGTTATTGGTAGTTCTGAATGTTAGATATTTTTTTCCACAGGGTCAAAAGGTACCTAAGTACATGATTGTGAGTGGAAAATAGGGGACAGAAATCAGGTATTGGCAGTTTTTCCATTTTCATTTGTGTGTGAATTTTTAATATTAATGCAGGGATGTAAAGCATTAATGAAAGTCAAAATGTTTCAGTGAACAAGTTTCAGCAATTCAACTTTATAACAATTATAAATAAACCTGTTAAATTTTTCTGGGAGAAAAAAAAAAGGCAAGTCAGTTTGACTCCTTGGAGAAATGCTTTTCCCACTGGTTCTGTACAGCTGGGTTACACTCCCAAGTATGGACACTGTGGCTCTTTGGTGGCCACAGTGGAGTATCTAGGTCCTCTCTCATCTGCAGGTACAGAGTGAATGCAATATTAATTTCCAGTGGCTAGGCCACCTCAGAGTTTAGCTGTCCAGCTGGGGTTTGGGCTCTGCTGGGAAATCCTTCCCCTATTGACTAGCCACTGCAGCCAAGCCTGGCAGCAACAGAGCACCACTGAGAATGAGCAGTGCTTGGTGGTCCCTAAACCACACGCCTACCTGGTGGGTGAATCTACCTTAATTTATAGGTAATAATGGCAGAGTGTACATGGAAACTTTCTGAACCCCCCTGAGAGAGGGAGACACGAGAGGCAACCACCTTCTTGTTCTTCAATTCTCCTTCCTTCCTTCCTTCCTTCCTTCCTCCTCTCCCTTCCTTTTCTTTCCCTTCCTCTTCCCTCCTCCCTCCCTCCCTTCCTTCCTTCCTTCCTTCCTTCCTTCCTTCCTTCCTTCCTTGTATTGCTCTGGGAGAGAGTTGGTGGCAGAGAGATTAGGTCCATGGAAAGCATTTTTCAGGGCAGGAAAAAGTATGGGAACCTAAGGAAAGCCCATCAAAGAGCAAGTGTGTTTCTAGTTCCCTTAGGAGGGATGATTCCTGAGCACACTTCGGAGGCCTTGCCCTTGTTATGCTCTGTCTCCCATGGAAATTTCCACTGTTCTGACTTCCTCTGGTTTTCTGCTAGGGATGGGCAGCAGGGGAAGTGAATGAATGAACAGTTACTCTCTGTCCACCTCCTGGGTGCTAGGCCTTGCTGTCCCTGGAGAATCCACTGGTTACCTTATTGGATTTTTGCAGCAATCCCGTGAGACAGGCAGTTATCTTCATTTGTCACTGAAGAAAACCAAGGCTTAGAGTGGCCAAGAGAAGTGTCCTAAGTCACATATCAAGTCAGCAACAGTTATGGTTCCAACAAAAATCAATCTTCTGTTACCATGCCCACCACTCTTTCCTGTAGCCACCAAGAGCTTTGGCTTGGGCTGGGGATCTAGCTCAGTGGTTTTGCCACCTGCTTTGGAAGTGCAAGGACCCGAGTTCGATCCCCAGTACCAAAAAAAAAAAAGAGCTTTGGCTTTCTGGGACATGTAGGGAAAGATGGCTGGTTCAAGGCTCTACATGCCCAGCACGGAACATGAGTCCCTTTCTGTTGTCTCCTCTGAGATGTGTTCAGGACAGTGCTGAATTAGACAGAACTACTCCTTGCCCCAAGACAAAAGCATAAAGATGGGGCTTGGATTCCCTCTGGTTATTAGATTCCCTTGGTTTCCTCAGGAGGCCATGATGAGTGTGACTGCTAAAATGACTGATCCATGTGGTCAGAGGCACACACTTGATGGTAGTGGGCAAGGTCAGTGAAGATCATCTCAAGTGGGCATTGAAAAATGAGTAGAATGACCAGTTGTGAAGGGGGATTTGGCAGGATGGGCAGAGGACTCTACTAGACACCATCTGGTAGAGGGCTTATGAGGCCGGGTGGAAGTCTCAGGAGGGCAGAGTCCATAACTGAGGAGGCTGAGCAAAGGGTGTTTCTAAGCAACATCTCCTGCATTCTGAAACTGTACTCACATCTATGGGCTATGGGAATGGGCAATGCTTTTGACTGCAAACAACAGAAAACACAGCATACAGTGGATTAAACCATAGGGCCATTTAGTGTTTACTTAACAGAAGTCTAGAAGTACATTTAAGCCACCAAAGACTTGGGCTCTAGTTCACTGTTATCTTTAGGGGATCACACTTTCACCCTCATGCTGGATTCTAACCATACATACACAGCTTTCTTTCTTCAAGGAAGGAAGAAATGGGTTTAGAGTGGGGCCTGACTATGCCAAAGTGTATCTTCCCCTTTCATTAGAAAAATATGACCTTCCTCAGGTCATAGACTCCTTTCTATGTCTCATTGACAAGAGCCAGATCACATACCCACCTTTTGAACAATTACTGACAAGGAGAGGTGGAATACCATGAAATCAATTAAGACTCATTTCCTAGAGTTAAGGAATTGGTTTATGTTTTCTGAAATCAAAGGATTTCCACTAAAAAATACAGGTTCTGACAGGGGTGTGGTGGGGGAAAGCTGCTGGGTAGGTGATGGAAAGTGCCTGGTATTATCACTCTAGGCCATTTGAGCGGCTCCTTTTCCATGAATTCAGGAGGAACATGTTGCTAAGTAGCAAGAGCACATGTGTCTGTCTGGTCAAGAGCTTCAGCAATGCCTATATTCCAAAAGGCCAAGGCACCTCTGTGGCGAAGACCAAGCTCATTCCTAACAACTGACTCCAAACAAGACATTCTGTCCTCTGGGCCTCAGTTTCCATCACCAAGAGCATAGACTAGAGGCTCTCTAAGGGCCTTTTTCCAGAGCCGTGGACTTGCTCTCCCAGTTGGCCTTCTGCTTGTGCCAGACACAGTCCCTTGTCCCACCCCCATCCCCATTTCCCACGCAGTCTCGCCTCAGAGCCTGTTCCAGGCACCCATTCCCTGCTCCCATCAGAGCCTCAGCCCCTTGCAGAGGGCCATCTCAGGCCTTCCCCCATCTGTGTTTTGCCTCTAATAGTTTGTAAACAGAGATTCTACCCTATACCCTCCAGCTCTCTCTTCTTAGTGCCTGAAGCAGACATTGGGGCCCAAGGTTAGCTGAACACATGATGATTCTGACCAGGATTCCTCTCTTAACATTTTCCCCAGACACCTATGACCTGATAAAGATACTATACGTTGCAAAGGCCAAGTACCCAGGCTCCCTACCCTCTGATCCCTAAATTGGGAGCTCCTGAGGGCAGCCTGAGGTCTTCCTTGGGGAAGCACTTGGGCATCCCTCTCTGGCAGGGCTAGTGAGTGGGGCATCTGCCTGCTATAGGTGGAGTCTTCTCTCCTTTAAACACCTCTTGCACACTATCTAGGAGCTTTTGGTTTGGACTCCAAACAGGACATTAACCCACTAGCACAGAGTCCAGTCCTCAAAATGAATAAGAATGGTTTTGGCAAGACACTTGATGGTACAGTCTTAATTTGTAAAAGTAAAGATCAAATACTGGATTATCTGGTTAAAAACTATACCTAGTTGTTCCGTTCTTAATGCAGAATACTTCCTTCCAAGTAGTCTCCACCTAGTCCTACAGTCTCTTAAAAGCCTCATATCTTAACCTACAAGGGAAACTTAATGTCTTCAGATTAAAAAATGTTTCACCCAGATGAATCTTGTACTTTGTGGGATAAGCTTTTACATTATGCAACCAGAAGGTTGTCATTTCAGGTTGAAATCTCTGCAATCAAATTTTCAGTTTATTTTATTTGTGCCCTGAGCCAGGACTCAGGAACTCACTTCCCTGCCCCAGTGA